CCTGCAGGCGGCGGTCGAACGCGCGCAGGAACCCTGCCCTCGTGCGACCTTTCCTCAGGCACTCCACCATCAGGTGGCGATCCACTTCCTCGCCTGCTCTTTGCTGCCGGCGCGTTTCCGAGAAATGAAATGGATGCTCCAGTCCAACATCCATGCTTGTATCTCCTGCGTTTGTCCCGCCACTCCTCTCAATGCAGCGCGCCTTCGAACATGGGGTGGACCCCCGACGGCATCGCTGTGTGGTCTACCTTGCTCGTCATCATCCTCTCGTCTTTGCGAAGTAGTAAGTGGGCCCATAGTCTACGACATTCGTGACCACTGACAATTAGCTGTGTACAAAACTCCCTGAATGCTGGGCCATTGTCGTTCTCCACTTCCTTGGCCACGGGCCTCAATGCTGCTGCATGTTTGTTGGAGCAGTGCCTGCTGACTACGAGATCCCTGCTGCCTGACCTGCGCAGCCCCAGTTGGCTGTTAGCGTCTCCTCCCGCAACGATAATAGATCCGCCACCCGTGTCGTCACACTTCTCCTCTGCACACTTCATAGGTTTTTGAACTCATCTCATTGTTTGTGTACCCTCGGTATGGCGGTAAACGCGTTGCGAAGATCGTGACGTCGTAGGCTCTCTGCCGCAGTTTGACCCCACCGTGCCTCCTTGCAGTTGGGCAGGTGGTGAGTACTGCGCGTGGAAGGCCATGTCTTTCATCGTCTCGCTGGGTACCAGGAGCGTCGTACCACATGACTTGTTGATCAATGTTTCCTTCTTTGCCCCAAACTGCAGTGCCGCATGACATCTGTGATTCGTCTTCTTCATCGGCTCTGGGCCAGCCCACTAGTGCGCCCCTGCCAGCACAATCACACCCCACTCTCGTAGTGCACTGCGAATTTCTCCCAGCCAGTCCGTGGTATTCGCCGCCAACGGGTTATATAATACAAGTTTCATCAATACGCATATCAAGAGCACTGCAACCGCCATCCATCTACCATGCCCCCCCCCCGAGCTCCCCTTCTGGCCCGTGTGATTGCTGGGCGGTCGTCGTGTGGGAGAGCTTCAGCATACCACCCTCCGTCGCATCTCAAAACGCCTGAATGCCAACGCCGACTACAAGGAGGGGGGGAACGTCAGTAGCATGCGGAAGAGGGGGAGGAGGAGGAGGAGGAGGAGGAGAAGTAGGAGGAGGGTGCGTGCATCGTGGACAAGACACAACGACACAGCACACCATCTTGTACACACCAGCAGCCCAGCTACGTGCAGCTACAGGACAATTATGACTACACAAAAAAAGTTGCTGAATACGTGGGCAAATTCATTGGGAGAGCAACCGACGCATATACCGCAACATCATCGCCCACCACCAACAAATTTCGAATACCGGGCGACTACACCAGCCAACCCAATTTGACAGCAAACCGTTGGAGTACTCACGCCAATATCAATTACTCAACTGCGCCCACACACAGATACAACCGGTGTCCAAAAACACCGATACGACAAAGCCTACGCCTACGCCAACGATGCAACTACCACGCCCTCGTGGCAGAACATTAATATTCAGGCCGCCGAAATACATCAAAACAACAAATTATCTCGAACGACCTACTGACGTTGGGCCAAACAGCCCACACTGAGGAATGGTTCAAGGACAGTTGGAGCTACAACGACAAGCAGAACAAGCAGAATACGAATACGAGGACCGACCCCGAAATATGTGCACTGGACACACCTACTACCAGTACCACCACAACAATACATACGTACCACACATCGGCGCCAGACCCAAGAGACCACAACCAAACAAGAACGCCGACACCGACCTACACCATTTCAGAAGTCAAGACGCCCACACCAATCGCGCCACCGACTCACCCGAGTCAACCAAAAAATCCACAATCTATAGGTGCAGCAATGCGTACCCCAATAGCAGACACAACAGACATTGCCCAATCGCTCAAGTGTACCGCCACCATTCATGAGTATTTACTCGGCTACTAGCTGCTAAGACAATCTCCGCCAATGGAGGTAGTTACAAGGGTGGGGTGGCGAAGGATCAGAGCCACATGCCGCGCCATCTGCCCAGTAGCATCGCCTCCTTACGTGCTGCAGTGTGCTGCTTGTTACCAGTGTGGCACGTCGGTAGGAGACGAGTCCCAAAGTCCTTTCTACTGTGGACGCCCGACAGCAGAACCCAGCATACACTCTTACACGTGCTGCGTTTATTTTCCCCTCTACCTCTGTCTACAGCTTAATTACCTCTCACTTGCATCTGATGTCGCCTGTTCTGTTATCTACCACGCAGTCTTCGTCACCATCCTTGTTTCGAGAGCGGGGTCGGGTTGTGGGAAGGTGGATTTGTGGCCGGGGGAAACTATAGCAACTGCAAATCTGACGCTTTAGTAGTTACTTCGCGCTGCTGGAATATGTGCCGGCCTCAAGCCTGCTCACAGTAGAATAGGACACGGGCAACACATCACAGTGGCCAGTGCCTTGCCAAAACTGCGCCGCCAACATTCAGAAGCACATTCTCCGTTTCTGAGCTAGTCCTTGCAAAACTTGGTACCTCTGGGGCGGTGGAAGTGGATATATGGGTGACGAGGGGACATGGCCGGAGCCACACTCAGCATCGTCTTCCTAGTAGCATCGCCCTCCTAGTTTACTGCAGTTTGCTGCTTGTTGCCAACTAGGCACGTCGGTTGGGGAAGAGCCCCCCATTGCTTCCCACTGTGAACTCCCGACAGCAGCACACCCAGTTGCACTTCCACATTCGCTGTTTTGAATATCCACTCCACCTCTGGCTACAGCCTAGTTTTCCTCCCACTTGCCTCTGACGTCGCATATGCTGTTACCTGTCATTTGTTGGTGCGCACCGCCTAGCTCTCGGCAGATGGTAGCATCAATTGTCAGAATTCTGATGCTGGATCCCCTCCATTCTAGTTGGTGGCGAAAGTGGCTAAATGGTTTCGCTGCCCCTCGGAAGGCCGAACAATAGCCCCAGCGCCACTCACTGATTGAAGGCCTAGCTTAGGCCAGCCACGCAGAATGCGCCAGCCTCACACTTGTAACCACAAACTATCAGCACACTCAGCTCCCCTCCCTCTCCCCTCCCTCGTACATTATCCTGCCTTCTTGCCCTCCCTCTCCCCCCTTTCGAGACCCCCTGACTCACAGGGTGCGGCCCCTTCAGCACGTTGTCATAACACTCGCCCCTACAGGGCAGTACAGGCCAGCCTTCAAGGCCAGCCGTTTTAACATGTTTGCCTCGCACGCTCACACGCTTCCCTCTTCCGCCTACTGTCGCCTGTGTTGCACCATTTCACAGCTAGCCTGGACCAACTAAACCTGGGAGGCTTGGTTCGACGGTATACATGTTTTTTTACTTGTGGGCGGGGAGGGCACTAAGGTACCCCAGGCTTGCTGTTAGTACCACCTGGCGGGCGCATACTCGGAATAGCTCCTCTGCACATTTCTTCTTGCCTGACTTTGTTCGGCATCGCCCGCCAAGATTCCACAACGCTAACTAATAGCTTTTTTTTCAGCCACCAGACGCCACGATCATCGGGTCTAGGTCCGCGCAACGCCAAAAAGGAGGAGGAGGAGGGGGAGGAGGAGGAGGAGGAGGAGGAGGAGGAGGAGGAGGAGGAGGAGGAGGAGGAGGAGGAGGAGGAGGAGGAGGGAGGAGGAGGAGGAGGAGGAGGAGGAGGAGGGGGAGGAGGAGGAGGAGGAGGAGAATAAGGGAGGAGGAGGAGGAGGATGAGGGAGGAGGAGGAGGAGGAAGAGGATAGTCGAGGCTGTACAAATAGGACACGGGTAAAGTGTTACCGTTTTCGTGCCCTACGAAGACACATGAATTTAATGGGGCTGGGTAAGCACCCCTTTCAATGATATGTAATCTCGTTTGCGCCCTCCCGCCCCACTATTGTGACGTGCCGAACGAAGGCGCGTGACCAAAAATAGGCTGGCCTCCTAGGCTCCTGAAGATCCAGATTTTTATTCTTCTCCCCCAAAAAGCCTATCAGAGGCTTGATATGTTTGCACCTGCCCTCTCCCTCGGTTGCACGGAGTCCGGCTGGGCGGTAGCGAAACCTGGACCTTTGCGAGGTGCCAGCCTATCAAATGGTACACGCTGGGGCATGAATGGGGGGCCGGACATGAGATATCGCGAGGATATATTGGCTGCTGCTCGTGGGCTGGGTCAAACGTAGTAGTGACGACCATTGTACTTTCAGGCATCGCGGGGCACGGTCATCTTCCGCCCTGGCGCCGCCCCAACCCCCCTCCCTGGTGCGGCCCAGACCGCGAAGGGCGAACCGCGATTCTTCTTCTTGCGACCCCTTGGGTTGACCCGAGGGTTGCAGGTTCCCAATGGGCCCGAGCTGCCTTGCGCTGCCCCCCCTCCCGGAAGAATGGTGACCGGTTCAACCCACACCGCAAAAGCTTGCACGCAATTCCGCTTGCGCCCCTTGGGTTGGCCCAGGGGGTGCAGGTTCCCAGTGGGCCCGTGCTGAGCGAGGTTGCAGCGGCGCCAGGCCAGATGAAATCGCGCTGCCTATTCCTAGACAATCGTTGCCTAAATTATCAAATGAGGGGAATAAGGTGCAACCGAGGGGTGTACTGCAGCATCGGTTCAGCGTGCAGGATTCACTGTGGCCTCAGTCTTCCTCCCGAAGTCCCTCCTCCTCCTCCTCCTCCCCCTTAACCTCCCACTCCGTCCTCTTGCGCCTGGGCCAATGACTCGTCAACATCATATTCCTCCTCATCATATAGCCCCCCATCAGGTGCACCCAATCTGCAGCAACCGACACAATAACTGCCCCGCTGGGGTGTCTTAGCGGTCGCCTCGGGCGAAGATGGCTTTGAGGACCACACCGGCTTCGCGGAGAAGTAACAGAGAACGAGGAAAGACGCTGCATATGCAGAGCCATGCACCAAGGCAGCAACGCCCTTTTCCGATCGAGCCGGCTCACAAGACGGACTTGCCTGCTTCACAAACTTGCGACGCAATCAGAGTTTGCTCTTGGGTCTGTTGACGATCATTTGCTTGAGCTCCTTCTTCCGGAGCTTACCGGCGTCGGAGCGCGGGAAATCGTCGGCGCGGAAGCTCACGTCGGCCTCCCTGGGCAGCTTATACTTGGCAATCTTGCCGTCGCACCAATCCAGGATGGACTTGGCCTGGAGGAGCAAAAAACATAATAAAAATGCCTTACCGGAGGTTCGCTCGGATTGCTTGAGTTGGCGCTGGAACCCCCTCCTCGGCGCGCGGAACGCGCCGAAGGCGGCGTTGGAAACGCCCTCAGGGGGGCCCAGCGCCTATCCAGAAAATCCGCGAGGACTTCTGAGAAATGATCATTGTGCCGTTGTGTTGTTCTGCGATGGCCGTCTCGGAAGCCCCATATACCAACTTGACGCACGCGTGGGCTCGTTCACCGCACTCGCTGTCGGGCACCCCGAACACGGCAACATCCTCAATCATGCGGTTGCCGTGCATCAGCTCTTCGGTCTCGATCGGGTAAATGTTGACACCGCCGGACACGATCATGTCACTTTTCCGATCGCTTATGTATAGGTACCCGTCCTCATCAAAATCCACCACAGTGCCCCCTGGCCGGTCGAGGCGTCGCAGAAGGCCACGTGCTGTCTGGCAGGGTGTCCGCCATGTCCTGAGGGGCCTCCACGGCCTCCTGGTCAAATAAAATTGCGCGCATCAGCCTCCCCCCGACGCCTCCGTGGGACTCTCAAAAAGTCTCTGGCGTTTCAGGGATGGCCGAAGAGAACAACCAATGCCGTCAAAATGGCCCAAGATTCCAAGATGCCTCCACGACGGCCCAAGATGGAGCCAAAACGTTCCGACATGACCTCAAGACATCCCATGGCGGATGTCACAAGGACTCCCCAAGAAGGCCCCCAGCGGACCCCCAAAAGACCTGAGAGGGACAAAATCCCACCAGGCCTCTTGGCGTAAATTTCGTCTTCGAACCTGCCGTCTTCCCCTTCGGGCTGCCCCTCCGGGGAGGATCGCGCGCTGCCCCCCCCCCCCACCCCCACCCCGACCCGGCCCGCAGTCAACGCGGGCCCATGCGGGCACCCGCGGGGGGGCCCCGCCCAAAACAATCCCTGCCATGAAACAGTGCAGACCTTCTACCGCCAAAGCAAAAACATGCGCGGGCGACCCGAAACCACTCTGCATGGCTTTTGTTCCACAGGGATCGCGGGGGCGCCAGCGCATTGCTTGCTGCGCGCAGGCCAGCCACCAGTCAAAAACCACACAACATACAGTACATGTTGCCTCCCAAGCTGGAGCATGCGCGGGCGCCCCGCGACCCATGTGCATTGGCTTTTCGCCTGGGGCCTCTTGGGAAGTCTCGGAGGGCCCAGGCGGTCGAGAGCGCGAGAATCTCAGAACCCGTAGGGGGCCCAAGGAATTCAACGAGTTTGGTTTCTGGGGGCCCTCGAGGGTGTCCCCTCGGAGCCGCCCCGGTGAGTTTTGGCGGGTCATGGGGCCGCCTTGGGGGCATTTTGGGCCGTCGGGAAGCCGTTTTGGGTCAAGTCGGGGCCGTCTTCTGTCGTCTCGGTGCCTCCTTGGGCCGTCTCGGGTTCTTTCGAGGAGCTCTGGTGCCGTATCGGGGCCCTCCAGGGCCCCCCCGTGCCGCTTCGGGATCCCCAGAGTGCTCGGGGAACCGGGGGTCACCCCAAACCCGCCAAGCGCTTCCTACGGATCTATCTGAATAGATGCACACGCACACAGGGAGCAACGAACCTACAGACATCACAAGGTTCGCGAAGGAAGGGCGCGCCACGCCATGCAAAATCTTCGGGGACTTGTTGGGGCCCATCACATTAAACATATGAATTGACCGGGATGTTTGGACTTCCTCGTCTTTCCGACCTCCTCTGACGAAGAATCTGGGATCCCCCACGCCTTGCGACTTCGCCGGGGCGTTTGGAAGTCCCGGTGCGCTACTCGAAGAGGACGCATGATTCCAAAGGAACTCTTGGTTTTCAGGGGGCCCAGAAGGCCTCTAAGAAGACCCCAAAGCGGTCCAAAGAGCCATCATTATGCCCCCGACATGCCCCCAAATTGCCTCGAACAACATCTCAATAGGTCCCCCCAAAGCCCCAGCGCGGCCCAATGACGGACACAACTTCAATGCAAAGGCTCCCGGCCCCAGACGGCGCAGTGACGGACGCGACTTTGACGCCGGAGTTCCCGAGAACTCCGCGGGGCGGAAAATGATTTCGAGCTGAGTCGCTGACGTACGCCAGGGTGCCCACGAGCAAAAGATGACTGACGCAAGAAACGCTCAACGGAAAAAGCCCCCCAGACCTAGCGGCGCAGAAGGCTCCTAATACCGAGGCCCCCAGGAGCTCACGGTGACGCGACAATGATATGAGGTCACAACTCCGAAGAGCAAGCGGCGCCATAAATCCTCTCGGCCAAACGCCTGACATAACATCGCAAATCCTGGTTAATGCGAGCGTTCCTTGGCTCTTGGATGTTTTCTCGCCCCGCGACGACTTGAAGCAGCTCCGCCGCGCCGAGGGTTCCTTCGGGGATCGCCCCGAGAGGCCGCTTGAGGCCCGAGTTATATCATGGCCTGGCGACCACTCCGAAGAGGGATGGTGCGTTCGACGTGCCAGTGCGTCGCCGACATCTCATCGGCAGCTGCGTTTCGCCGAGCGGCCAACCGGTTCATGGCCCCCCTCGCAAGCATCGCGTCGCTCATTTCACGCTCTATATCTGGCATCCATCACCATCCTAACCAAGGCCCCATTCACGGTTCCACCCTCGCCCCCGCGTGACGTGATCATCGTCGCGACCCCCCTTCGGTCATGCCCTCAACCTGCGCCATGCTCATGATCGTTAGTCCTCTCGAGGCACCGCTCGTGGTTATGACATTCCCCGCTCCAGGGGCCCTCGCACGCTCTTCGAGATGGGGGTCGCCCCGGTCCGTCTGCTCGGGCCCGCTGCTCTCCCAGCCCGGTGGTCGGGGCGCCCGACTTCCTGTGTCGACGGCGCCCTTCCCGCTTCACTGTACTGCTTCTGCCACTACTCGCGCTCCTCTGCAGACTTGTTCTTTTGCACCAGCCTTGCCTTGCCCGACAGGTCGAATCCACCTCGATCACCATGAGTTCCCCCCATTGCTACCTGTTTCCGTTCCTGCCCTTCCTCTTCCGCCCGCCCTGCTTGCAATGGCGCCCCACCTGATCTTTCCGCGTGAGCCCGAAGGTACATAGATGCAGAACCACGAGGCGATGGGAAGCGAAGCGAGCTCCCCGACGCATGCGTATCTATATCTAGTCTCATCACATACTCATCGATGTCGCGTTCTCACCTTTTTTTGGGTTTCCCGTCAGCCCAAGAGTACTTCGAGGCCCAAAAAGCCTCCAAGATGGCTCGAAGACGGCCTAAGAGGGCGCCAAAAGGACCTGAAGACGGTCCCAGAGGCGCTCAAGATGGCCCAATAAGCCTCCAAGACGGCCCAGGGAAGCCGCAAGACGGCTCGATGCACCCCAAGTGCGACCTGTCAGGCCCCAGGAGGACCCGAAGAAAGCCCAAATAATCCTACAAAACGGACTCTGAGGGCGCCAGACTGCCCAGGAGCGCACGAATTCCGTCTAGGGACGCCCCCAAGAGGTCACAAAGACGCCCCCAAGAGACGAGGGGGAAAAAAAAAGAAAGGAAAACGACGATGAGCACGGGAAGAGACGTAAGAACATGCCACATTTGTCGGCTCTCCCAACCCTCGGGACACGAGATGTTACATATCACGGTTCCCTGTGCGCCCCCCGCAGTCCACTCGCCACCCAGAGTGCTGGGCTGGCGCGGTGGCGGTACTTGCCGCAGGCAGCTGGATACCCCACGTCACCCACAGAGAAGTAGTCATCGTACATGAGTTATTTGGTCATCTCTTCATGTTTGTGGTATCCATCGAAAACGCCGCCCTTCGCAAAAATCTCACCCTGCACATTCGGCGCGCTAATTCTCCTCTTGCTGTCGTCGAGAATCATCACGTCGATGCCGGAGGCCGGCTTACCACAAGACAACGGCTTCTCCAGCATTGTCTCGGGCGTTATTAATGAGGGGGCGATACATGGGGGGGACGAACAAAAAGTACACCATTCGTGCCCCGCTTGGGGCCCAGGGAACCCATGTAAGGCCCCTCCAGGGCACAAAACGTGCACCTTTCTTCACCCCCTCATTCACCGCACCCCCATTACTCGACGCCCGAATGTATCTGGGTCCATGATTGCCGGTTGCGCAAGAGAGGGGGCCCAGGAAGAGGGGGTCCGCGCATCGTGGCCCGAGGCGTGCGCAAGCGGGCGACGGGCGGCCAGGGTGCGCATGGAACGAAGAAGAAGAAGCAGAAGAGGAGCACTGAAACTTGAGAAACTTCATGGCCCCATGATAATATCCACACACCCCTAGAACGCGTTTCTTTATGTTCGGCGATGACGGGCGTCATGGGGGAGGGGGCAGGGCGGCCGGGGGTATGACGTGACGCCCCCCCCCGCCGTGTGGCTCCGGCACCGCAGCCGCGCCCGCGCGCGCGACGCGACGAGCGACGAACGACGAGCAACGACGACGACGCGAGCAGCATGTAAGTGGCGATCTACCCATTGCGCCTGTGTACACCACAACGCTCGCGTGCACCACGCCGCGCGTGTGCACCACAGCGCCTGCGTACACCGCAACAGCCGTGTGCAACGCACCGCCCGTGTATACCACAATACTTGGGAACACTGCATCGCGGGTGTACATACACCGCAGCAGCCATGTGCAACACAACGCCTGAGTACACCACTACCACTGTGTTTGCGTGCGCCGCAGCGCCTGTGCACGCCACAGCGCCTGTCTACACCACAGCATCCGCGTGCAACGCAGCGTTGGTGTACACCACAATGCCTGCGTGCATAGGACAGGTAGAAGGAGCATGTACGTCAGGATCTGCTGCGGACAACTGAAACGCCACGCCAAGAAAGTTCTGATAATCGAATGCGACGTTTTCCCCTCCTCCCTCCTCCTCCACGTCCTCCTCCTCCTCCTCCTCCTCCTCCTCCTCCTCCTCCTCCTCCTCCTTTTCCTCCTTTTCCTCCTTCGTACCCCCTGTCGCGCGGCTTGGCGTTGCAACGCGCGTGCGAATCTCACCGTGCACCGCAGAATGGTCGATTGAATCGGTCCACTTGCTTCTCGGACGGCCAGTTTAGCTGGAGCCTCCTGGACGCAAATGGGAGTTAGGGTGATGCGGGCGGACTCGGGGGGACTCGTAGATTCCAGCGGCGTTCCTTCGTCAATGAGGATTTGTTTTCCATTGTTTTCTCTGGAATCCACACGCGCTCCATTTTGTCACAAAAATTCCTTCTGACATTCTATACACAACAATGGTGCCGTGTTGCACACGGCTGATGTGGTGCACCCACGCGCCGTGGCGTTCACAGGCACTGCAATGCACGCAGGCATTGTGGTGTACACTGGTGCTGTGTTGCGCACGGCTGATGTTGTGTACGGGGGCGCTGTGGTATACAAAAAGAGTTGCTGTGCCCGCAGGCACGGTGGCACAAACTGACGCTGTGTTGCACGCGGCCGCTGTGGTGTACATCGGCGGTGTGGTGTACACAGGCGCTGTGGTGCACGCGGGCACTGTGATGTACACAGGCGTCTGTGGTGCATATCGCCACCTACATGTTCGTGCTACCCGTCCTCCGTCATTCCTAAGCATTCCAAGATGCCGCCGGCGCGAAACGTGACGTCATCGACCATCGACCCCCTCCCCCCCAGATGATTGCCGTCATCGGCCCGGACTTACAAACAGGCTCCAGCCGCGTCCGCGCGCACGACGACGATGAGCGACGAGCGACGAACCACGAGCGACGACGACGGACGACGACGACGACGACGCCTGCGGACCAGACACCTATGCGGATTCCTACGCGAACAGCTACGCGGATCCCAATGCGCACGGCGGCAGTGCCCGGAGCGCACTGAGGGAGGAGCGTTACGTCATAGGGGGGGGGGGGAGCGGGGGCCACGACGCCCGTCATGCCCCAAGCAATAAAGAAACGGGTTCCTACAGTCATCGTGCTACCATGAGAAACGCACAATAAGGAACGGATGGGGCCTTTCTGGCCACGGCGGGCGTGGACTACAGACAGGTTCAACGACATGAATCGAACGAAACCCCGAAAATCCGAGCCCCTCCTGAGCCTGAATAGGTCCTTATTTCAGCGTTTTGACGAAGTCCTCAGCCCCCTCTGGGACGCCCCCGAGATAGTGACTCCACCCAGCTCCGATGCACCGTGCAGCTCGCGCAGCACGGGACCAAACATGTCGACAATGCCCTTCTTCGCGGATGTTGGGCACGCGGCACCACCGGACATGATGTTCTTAATCGACGAGGTGTCGCACCGGGACCTCTCCGCATGTGGCACCTTAGAGGCCTCCCAAATGGGGTCCGAGAAGATGGTGTCGGAGGATCGCGCCGCACCGTCGATGAATCGGCGACGTCGGCGTGGAGAAAATCGGGATCCACAACTCGCCGCATCGCAAATGCATCCCCATGTACCGCATCTACTCAGACCCCACGTGGGAGGCCTTGGCACCTGCACCAAACGCTTCATCAAAATAGGTGGCAAGAAGCAGCCGGTCACCTTGAAGCGCTCGATTGCGACGAGTGCTAACGTAGGTTCGAACTTCGGCATGCAAACGAAGGTGGTGCCAACGTTCTTACCGAACGAAAACAACGCGCAAGGCAAAGCATGATAGAGGGGAGCGGCAACAAGTTGAACTTGAGTTGGAAACATTGTTGAAATTGGACGCTGGATTTGGCGGCCTGTTCGCACAAAACGCACCCTTTGGCTTGCCTGTGGAGCCCCCCCGTGTATCCTACCAAGCCGCCTTTCCTCGAATGCGCGGGCGGCTTGGCACCTACGGGAACTTCGGCAATGATATCACTCAAAGACACAGACCCATCCACGACACCATCAAGACAAACCCAAAGCTTGACTCCAGGAGTTTCAGCCCTCGTCGCAACCACCGTGCTTGCGAACTCGACGCCAAAAAATCCGCCACCGTGCCTTGAGGCACGAGCTGGTGTGTCCTCAGGTCCTTCGCCTCCCCTGAGGATTCTTTCAGGGGACTGGGCCCCTAGCTCTCAAATCTTCCAGGGCCCCCCCCGCGCCTCAATGGTTCACCCGCGCCTCGTCGCACGCCTTATTCGGAGCCAGCAGGGTTCCAAGACGGGCCAAGAAGGCCCCAGAAGGCCTTCAAGACGGTCCAAGAGGGATCCGAGTTGCCGAAAGATCGTTCGAAGCCGCTCAGAGGACCTCCACACGGCCCAAGACGCGAGGCTTCCCAAGAGGTCAAAGATGTTGGCATTCTCACCTGTTCGGCTCCCCGACGTTCCAAGACGGCCCAACAGGCCCCCAAGATCGCTCAAAGACGGCCCAAGGAGTCCCCAAGGGCGCCCCAAGACGGCCCAGGAGGGCGCCAAGACGGCACAAGAGGCCCCCAAGACGGCCCAAGAGGCCTCCAAGACGGACCCAAAAGGAGGCCCAGAGGGGAGACCCAAACACACATTTCGAGCCTTCGACCCCGCGTCCTCGAGGCCTGCGAGGCGCCTCCAAGAGGCCGCACGAGGCCCCCAGGAGGCCCCGCCCCCAGGAGACTCTAAGAGGCCCTCAAGAGGCCCCAAAGACGCCTCCAAGAGTCCCATCAGAAGCTTCCCAACATATCTCGGCGTGCGCCGAATACGACTCAAACCCATAGTCCAAGCACGATGGAGGGATCGGCTCAAGGCCATTAGATACAACATCTGCATCACAGTCGTTGACGATGTACGCAATTTCATGCCCAACCAACTGCCAGTTGATCGGTGAAAATCCCAGGCCAATCTTCTCCACCCCCACCTGGGCAATAAGCCACTCTGGACAATTCCTCGCGTAAACGGCTCCGGCCGCTGCATCTCCGGGTAGGCGCTGGCTGAGCGAGCGCGCTAAGCGGCTGCGCTTGTCGACCAGATCCGCCCAAGAAACTGACCTGGAGCCATCCGCACTCACGGCAAATAGTTTCTCGCCCGCCCTCTCGGCGAACGCTGCCAGGGCATCGGGGACACTCGTGCCTTCTCGGGCGGCGGGGTGGCGATGGCAGAAAAAATACCCTCTGGGTCAGAGAGAGAGCTTTGACCGAAGACATCTATGAATCCATATTTCTCTTGTTCCTCCTCCTCCTCCTTCTTCAGCATCCCCCCCTCCTCCTCCAGGCTCTTCAACCCCTTCCTCCTCCAACTCCAGCCTGCTCTCCTCCTCCTCCAACCCCATGCTCCGCCCTGACATCCCCCTCCTCCTCCTCCTCCTCCTCCTCCTCCTCCTCCTCCTCCTCCTCCTCGCCCGCCTCTTCCCTCTCTCCTCCCGCGCGCCTCCTCCCTCCTCCTTCTCCTGGCCGCACCGGTTAAGTAGCCTCCTGATCATGCTCCTGTTCAACCTCCTGCTGCCCCCCCTCCCCCTCCTCCCCCTCCTCCTCCACCTCCGCCTTTTCCGCTCCATCCTCGTGCTCCCGGTGCTGACCATGCTTCCGCTCGTGATGCTGCTCGGCCCCCCCCTTCTCCGCCGCGCCCTTCCTCCTCTGCCCCCTCCTCCTGGAAGACCAGGGCTAGGTAAAAGGAGAAAGGAAGGTGACGGGGAGGTAGAGGAAGATAAAGAGAGGGGGGAGTGCAAGGGAGGTGCAAGGGGGACGGTGAGACAGCGGGGGGCGAGGTGACGAGGGGAGGGGGGGGGGGGGGGCAGCGAAAGACGGGGAGAAGCGAGGAAGGGACGGAGGAAGGGAGGACAGGGAGGACGAGTGGAAGGGTGGGAAGGAGGACAGGAAAGAGAGAGAAACAGAGAGAGAGGGAGAGAGAAAGAGAGAGAGAGAGAGAGAGAGAGAGAGAGAGTAGACGTGCATGTGTACGTACATACACCCATGCGACCACCTTTCGGGTGAGAAGGAGGCAGTGGGCGCGTGTGTGGGTGGGGGTGGGTGTGTGTGTGTGGGTGGGGGGGGGGGGAGGGGGGGGCAACTGATGACAACTGCGATGATTGTGATGGTGACGATGCTGGTGATGCGCCCGCGAGCTAGGGACGATGCATGATGGCGATGCTGGTGGCGATGCATGATGGTGATTGTGGTGGTGGTGGTGGTGCTGCTGTTCTGCATCGGCGATGCTAGGATGATGCGAAGATGGTGGTGGTGATGATGATGATGGTGGTGGTGCCGGTGATGTTGATGGCAATGTTGGTGACATTGGAAAGACAACGCCGACCTGAAAAATGGACACATGCGAGACACGGAACAACCACAGGACCATTGAATGACCATTGGGGCATCATTGGGACACAATCGTGAAACCATCGAGAGGGGCACGTGAAGACACTGCGGGAGCAAATCAATGACACAATTGGGACACCACGTAGACTCAGACACCATGTGGACACCATGTGGACACCATCGGGGCACCACTGGGGCACGCCATCGCGACACCACCGGGGCATCATGTACACACCGTGAACACACCATCGGGACACCATCGGGACACCATGTGGACACCCATGTGGACTCCATCGGGACATCATCGGAACAAAATCAGGAGACCATCGGGGCACCGGGCAGGCCGCATCGGGACACCATGTGGCACCACTGGGACATCGTCGGGGCAGGAGCACCTGAGGACACAGCGGGGGTGAATAAATGGTACCATCGGAACACCATGTGGGCACCATCGGTGCACCTTGTGGACACCATCGGGACTCCATGTGTACACCATCGGGACAGGGGCACCATCAAGACACCATCTGGACACCATCGGAACACCATGTGGACACCGTGAGGACATCATGTGTACACCATGTGGACATCATGTGGACACCATCGGGGCACCATGTGGACACCATGTGGACACCATCGGGACACTGCCAAACCACCGCCAGCCAACCTGGGGGGGGGCACCGGTTGGCCCAGTTTCGCCCTAGCAACGGCGATGTCATTCCGCTCGCCCGCCCACGCAACTTCGCCTCGCCCGCCTATACGGCACGAACACGAAACCGGAACCAGTTTCCCGGTAGGGGGTGTCCGTTTCACTTCGATCTCACCCCTCAACCTCCGATGAGCACATATAATGAAAGCATGTGTGAGAGAGGAGTGAAGAGAGGGGGCAGAGAGAGGGAGGATAATAAACACGCACACATCGCGCTAAGAAACGTGAAAATGCGCAGGCATATGTGCATACATATACCTATGCGACAACCCGTCGGAGGATGCGGAGGTTGTGGGGGTGAGTTCAGCTTTCAGCGTGCAATCGGAGTCCGGTCGAACTCGGCGGAAACCAAGTGGGCACAACGGAACACCTGATTGCCCGTCTATATATATATATATATATATACATATAGCTCCGCCATCCCCCCCGTGTGCCAGGAAAAGGGGGCCTCAAAGACCTGCCACCTTTTTCTTCTGCGCGGTCCACCCGGCGGAACGGCGAGCTCAGACTGCGAGCGAGGAGCCGCCACACTGACGAGACTAGAACGATGAAACGAGACCGACGGTTTCGCACGGCCCGAGCCCGAAAGGTGGAACTGGCCCCAAGGCCGAACTGACAATCACAAGATTAAAACCCAATCGATACTTTAGCCTGCAGGGGAAAATCGGCAGGCTTGACCCCCAATGCCCAGGAATGCTTATTGAGGCTATGGTTGTCAATGGTTGTTTTCAGCCACAAGGCGGAGGGTACGCGCCAGCGTTCTGGAAAGCAACTTGGGATACCAGGCGGCAATGGCTGTCCTCTTTCGTCCGGTGGCAGGGTCCGCACCTTCGAGTATCAGATGAGGCTTGCCGGTGACCGAGCACAGGCCCTTCTGTCCAGCGCACCGTTGATGAAGACGCGAATGGAACCCAGCTCCCCACATCGCAATTCTGGTCCTTTTTCGCCAAGGAGCCCCAGAGCGACACATATCCAGTAGATGAACATGGCACTCAGGATGATCAAGGAGAGGGCCCAGTAGGGGGGCATGCCACATGACGGAGGACGCGGGGTTCTCGAGGTACAACGGGATCCCAAGACGGACGCAAGTCTTGATGACGTTTACGGAGAGCTCGAACGTGTCGTTCCCTACCTGAATCCTAGCGAGCTCTGACTTGTTGAGGTCTACAAGGCCCGTCGGGGCCTGGATGGTCCTGAGAGGTTTTCGCGGGGCCCGAGCCCACGTAGTGCACGGAGTGCCCAACCAGACGCCCACGATCACCCTACCCTGGAACCACCCGCGAATAGTATTCCAGAAGGCCGGACTGAGGTGGCTCTCCAAGGGCCCGTTGTTGATGTCCAGAGACACACATGCGTGCCCTGCAGCCTTGAGGGCCCTACCAAGCAGGCCTGACCCTGCGAACAGCTCCAAGAAGGCGGCGCGACGGAGGCGGACCGCCTGGCGCAGCTCGGAGGCCAGGGCGCCCTTGAGGTATTGGACTACCTCCTGGCGCCGTGGGGCGCCCCCGTGCGCGCCGGCGGCGGCGCAGGCAGCCCGTGCGTCAGCGCCGCCACGGCGAGGGGCGGCGCGCCCGCGGGCAGGCCGCCGCCGCTGCGCAGCAGAGCAGCTCCGACAGGGAGTTCAGCACGAGGTTGCCGTAGACGAACACCTCGGGCGCCACTGAGCTGAGGGTGTCGAGCAGCCTTGCGTCCTTGGCGTATCTCTTCACGGACACGAAGGTGGCCCACCCCCCGCGGAGGCAAACCTGCTCGGCCGAGCGGCGGCCCAGAGTCAGGTCCCCCGAAGCCCCGCCGCGCCGCAGCTGGTAGGGGTGCGGCTCGAGCGGGCCCAGCCCCATGAGCACGGCGCCCTCGATGAACACCCGTCGGTACTCCACGAAGCTCAGGTCCATGATGAGGTCGTCGGGCTTGAGCGTCACCCGCGCGCAGGCCAGCGCAGGGCACAGCCACGCGTCCATGTCGATGACCACGGCGTCGTCGCACACTCCGGTCTTCCCCGCCTGCGGGAGGGCGGAGTCGCGCAGAAGGATGGACCAGTGCTGGTACGCGGGCCCCGCCGTCACCGCGGGGGCAATGAGGTGACGAGCTCGTACTTGCATCATCTCCTGCGGCCCCAGGTAGCGCACGTGGGCGACGGCGGTCAGCAAGGCAGCCCGCAGGAGGCCGCGGTGGATCAGGTAGCCGACGATCGCGCCCATGGCCGCCCGCGGCATGGGCAGCCGCGTGAACGATGGGGCGCGGCGCCTCCAGCCCAGCACCGCTCGGGAGGCTCGAGGGAGCAACGTAGCCCCTGAGCGCCCCAGCCCCGGCAGGAAGTGCGCCAAGGCCGCCAGCGTGCCGCTGCCGACGTCTGGCCCCAGCCCCTCCAGGTACAGGCCGTTGAAGAAATCGACCAGGAGGCCGTCGAGGGTGGGCCAGTCGTGCCAGTCCAGCGCCAGCCCTAGGCAGTGGTCCTGGAAACCCTTCACCAGCGACCTGTAGAGGGTCTCCGTGGAGGGACGGATGGCAAGCCGCTCCAGGAGGAGAGCCCCCCGAGCGGGGGCCGCCCCCGCACCGCTGCCACCCGCCGAGGCGCGGAAGGCCTTCAGGAAGGCATACCTGCTCCCCGATCGGCTCGCCGCCTGCAGTCGCCCAGGTTCCGGGCGGGCGCGGGGCGTCCACAGCGGCTGGTGCTTGTAGCGAGCTGGGCCGGGGGAGCCCAGGCGGGGCACCCAGACAGGGGGCCTTGTGAGCCGATATGCACGACGAAGGATAGCGCCTGATAGCTCGGGACCCAGTAAACCAGCCAAACCTCCCCCTGGAAGGGGCATCACTCACGTTTCTCTCAGTGGGCACCCATCTGACAATAAAACGACATCCAGTGACCAGCGACAAACACGCGAGCTTCGTCAGGCAAGGCATGAGGAACTTCGATCTGGCACGACCCTTGGTGGCACCCATGGCCAACGGAAGATTGTCGACGATGAACAGAAGACGACGACCGAGGGCGCTCTCGCCGCGCAAGGCGCGGCGTATGGCGAGGATGAGGGCCGCCCCCCCCAGAGCTAAGATGTCGGTGCCGACAGACACCTGGCAGGCAGCGATGCGGGCCCAACTGTCGGGGTCCATGA